AATTTAATTTAGTTCATTACATGCTCTTCACATGTGTAACAATAATTAGGCAAAGAGAAAAATCAACACGAAATGTAAAAAATAAATAAAAATGCTGCTCCAATAAAACAGCATGATCCAGAAAAAGGCTTAAGTGTAATCAGATTCGTCATCTTAAGGACTTGAAAATGGTTTGAAATTCTAGCATGTAGCTCTGAAGCGCCCAAATTTGCTGTAACGGCTTCAAGAAGCTCAAAATTCAAAAATTGACCCAACGATGAACTGACCTGCTGTTCCTGCAGTTTCCCGCAGCCTCCTACTGTCAGTTAGCAATGAAAAATGAGATACTAATACCAAAATGTGAAATGTCCGGCATGAACTGTGCGGTTACTCATAATTGGCATGATTAATTAAGAAATGAAAGGCAGAGGGCAAAAGTGCTTGTGCATTCATCTCGGTTGTTCGGTCTCGCATTTTTTACGAATTTTTCCTGCAGTTCTGCGAAATGACAAGGCTTCAAGAAGACCGAACATGGAGCTACCGCAAGATGCGGGGGCATCCCTTTGGACTAAGCCTAGCAGGGGACAGGAACTGCAGGGAAAATGAAAATCGCGTATCTCAGAGTCTCTCGTCCCCTGCCTACATACTTAGTCCTGATTTTATTGAAAAAGTAGATATTTTAAGAGGTGTTAAATGTATTATGTTCACAACGTCCCCCTATTTTGCGATAGCACCGATGTTTTGCTCTATGGCGACCACAATATCTTAGAGAATTATTATTCACAATATTTAATAAATGTGTTAATGTTTCAGGTGAAACCGGTAACATCGACATTGTTGGAATGGATGGAAGTGAGTCATCGACGTCATCGACATCGACACAGGTTTGTACACTGTTTTGATTTTTTCAACGAAAACTCCAAATAAGTAAACAGTAATAAATTATTTGTCAATAAAATATTGTGGAAAGTAAATGAACGCTAACGCTAATCCCACAAGTTCGTTTTCGTGCAGCTCTCTCACATTATTGTGTAAGTTATCAAACATTCTAAACTATCTTAACACACTGGCGATAACCAGTTGTGCGTTTAGCTCTGCACCTCCTTATTTTTTTCAGAACCGTTCTTACTCCTACAGTAATCATTCTGTTGGTAATCGGTGCACTGCTTTAAAGACAAGATAATGTATGCGTACTTTTGAATATGAAAAACGCCAAAAAAATGGACAAAAAGAGCCTAATCTGTGTGAAGACGCGCATGC